TGTGACAACAATTGATAACAGAGACTGAGATTTGATATGCAAATGAATGAATATGACTAAGTGTGTAATTGCAATGTAAGCAAATAACTCAACAGCAGAAATGACCTCGGTGGGTCTCAACAGAGTAAGCATATAGACTAAACATGATTTCAAACATGATTCACAGCTCATATAATCAAACAAGTAGGAAGAACATTGAGGTAACAGGATATAACAACAAAATAAGTCCGGTCAGAGTCTAATAGTCGACTAAAATCATGATTTGCTCGGTGCAGCCCACACGCTCGCCACCTAGCATGTGCGTCACCTTAATACATCTCTTATAACACAGTTCCCAGGGTTAAGTACCCTCAAATCCAAGTTTAGATATGTTACTTACCTCGAACAAGATGAATCCAATATCGATCAAGCCAAACAATACTCTAGAAATGCCATCTTGCGTGTACCAACCTTTGAACCGCTCAAAACTAGCCAAAAGCAACTCAAAAACATCAAATAATGCCTAAGGAAAAATTCCAAATGATAAAGGTCGAGTCTTTACACATTTACTCAAAGTAAACCAAAAAGTCAAATCCAGGCCCACACCTCAAAATCTGACAAAACTTACAAAATCTGACAACCCATTCAATTATGAGTCCAACCATACTAATTTCACTCAAATTCGACTCCAAATCGATGTTCAAAACTCAAAATTTACTTTAGGCAAGTTTAGACAAAACCCCCAAATTTCTCTTTTGAAATCATCTATTAATTTCCAAAAAACAAAGATGGAATCGTGGAATATAATCAAAACCGAGTATAAAATACATACCCCAATCCATGTAGTGAAAATCGCCTCAATCCGAGCTCCATAGCTCAAAATATGCTAAAATAAACTCAAAATCCCGAAATTTGATGTTTTAATTCACTGCCAGGGGTCCCTCTTCATGATCACGGTCCCCAATAATGCGATCGTGATTCAAAAAAATCTCCAACTCAATTTTTACCCTTCGCGATCGCGAACATTCCCCCATGATCGTGATGAACAAACTCCAACAAGCTTGCCTAACTCTTCCATACATCCTTTAGTATAATAGATATAACTTTTTGTACAGAAGTCTAAATGACAAACAATTTAATTTTCTGCAAACTAGACACCAAGGGCTACCATTTTCGTTTTTGGATCATCTCCAAATTCCTTATAGATTGAAAGACATAAGCTTCCAAAGTTGGCTCAGTGACAACAGAATTTCTTCTTCGCGAACGCGAAGATCTATCCGCGAATGCGATTCACATGCCCTTTTTTCCCATTTTACTCTTTGGGAACACGACCCAAAGCCTGCGATCGTGATGCACACTACTGTAGCCAAAAACCAAGAACTAAAAATTGCCTAGAAATGGTCTGAAACCACCCCCGAAACTCACCCGAGCCCCTTGGGACCCCGTCCGAACTTGTCAACAAGTCTCAAAACATATGACGGGCATACTTGAGGCCTCAAATCATACATATTAACATCAAAACTATGAATCGTCGATCAAGATCAATCTCTTAAGTTCATAAACTTCTAACTTCAAACCAAGCATCTGATTCAAGCCTAACCAATCCGTAATAAATCTAAATTTTGTATACAAGTTCCAAATGACATAACGCACCTATTCCAACTACCGGAACAACAATTCGAACCCGATATCATCAAAGTCAACTCTCGGTCAAACTTATGCACATTCCAAATCTTCAAATTTCCAACTTTTGCCAAATAGTGCCGAAACCTTCTAGAAACACCCAAATGCAAATCCGGACATACTCCCAAGTCCAAAATCATCATCTGGACCTAACGGAACCATCAAAACTCCATTCCGGGGTCAAATACACAAAAGTCAAACTTGCTCAACTCTTCTAACTTAAAGCTTAAACAATGAAATTTACTCCAAAATAATTCCGAATCACCCGAAAACCGAAACCGATGATACACACAAGTCCTAATACATCATACGGAGCTACTCATGCCCTTAAACTGGCGAGTGAAGTGCAAATGCACAAAATGACCGATCGGGTCATTATAAAATAACCGGTTGGGTCATTACAATGGACGTCGGGCTTTCCAACAGAGAACAAATGAATCTCTTTGACCTCGAACATTTGTCCTCCACTCCGTGAGGCTAAAATCCACTACACGCGACCTGATTCTCATACAACCCGAGATATGTAGGCAACTCAGACACCAGAGTTCGGTCATAGTCTTCAAAATATCCTCCATTCCCAGTTTGTCATGTCGGGTCAAAATTGAGTATGGTGTCAATTTCTTGGCCCGAATACTCTTACATCATCTCCGGTCAAAGAGGGGCAGTTGTTGACACTCAATTTTGACCCTCTGAATTTAAAATTAACTTCTACAGACTTCCTAATCAAAAAATGATAAATTATTTTTTTTGCACATTATTTAGACTTAATGCAATTTATTGATAATTATTCCTATTTTCACAAAATAAAGGAATTTTTATCATTTTATTGCAATCACTTGAATACTACAAGCTGTCGGAGCATTTGAAAATTATCCCCTCTTGTTGGGAGAGCTTGATTGGTAGAGTGCGTCTCCGTTTGTCGGGAGAGCTTTGCACTGAGTAATGTCTCCGCTTGTCGGGAGAGCTTTGATTTGTAAAGTGCATCTCCGCGTGTTGGGAGAGCTTTGCACTGAAATGTAAAGTAATCTCCTCTTGGGAATGATTGACTAAATCGTAATGATACCTGAAGCTGCATGAGCAAAACGTTAAAACATTCAAAGTAATAGTACTAAAAGCATGACCAAGAGATACTCTTGACTACAAAGCTAAGTTGCGGCCATCGATTGGCAGAACATCGGTGACGAGGTTTGCGACTGTCTATTCTGGCATCCATTGTGATGGAGCGGCAATGTGAATTGCTTTGTTGGTGAAGTCTGCAATTTGCTATATACAAGGATCCGATTGGCGAAGTCGGCATTCGATTTGTACAGGAGGTGCTCCAATTGATTGAGTTGATGGTTTGCTATATACAGGACTTCAATCGGTGAAGTCAACTTTCGATTTGTACAGGGTGCTCCGATTGATTGAGCTATATACAGGACTTCAATCGGTGAAGTTAACTTTCGATTTGTACAGGATGCTACGATTGATTGAGCTATATTAAGGACTTCAATTGGTGAAGCCGATGGTCCGTTTGTATAGGGTGCTCCGATTCGCTGAGCAGGCAATTCGCTATGTACAGGTTTTTTTGTATCAACTGTCTGATTCCGAGGTACCTGCAAAGGATTCAAGAGTTAGCTTTAGTTGTACCAGAAAAAAATTCAAGGAAAGGAGGAAGAGAGATAATCTTAGTCAAGTGGCGGGTCCCTCATTTTCCCCAGTGTGGTCTTAGTGCTTCCTTACTCCCTGTTGACCCTGCACTCAAAGAAAACTTCTTAGTAGGGGGGGAGTTAGTTTGTGTCGACCACAGTGTTGGTTTGTCCTAGCCTTTGACATGACTGTGCCGTGAAGTTTGGTAGATAGAACAGATTATGGTATATATATATATATATATATATATTTGTCATTAGAAAACATTCTGAAAATAGTTTGTTTTTTAAGGCAAATGTCGTCGTTCCGGATTATGACATGTTATGAAATGTTCTCCACACGCGAGCGTATCCTCTTGAAAACTTTATCATGCTGGTGTCGACCTCTCATGATGCTTCTGACAACGCGACTAGTTGTTGTCGCGAGTGCGTCCTAATTTGAACTAATGCATTACAAGGCTTTTCCAAAGGTTATGACCGAACCCTTTCAGGTTGCCTACGTATCCAAAACGGAATCAGGTATGAACGTAGTTCATGGATTATGATAAAATATGATGAAGATGACCGAGCCAGACTCAGGCAGCCTACATATCCAAATGGAATCAGGTCAAGATGTAGTTCAATTACAACAGATGCAAAATGATGAGATTTAAGAATAAAAATGGTCGAGTCTAACTCAGATATCCTATGTATCCAAGTGGAATTAGGCCAGAACGTATTTCAATTACAAAAGAGGACTGAATCCGATGAGGATTGCCTACGTATTCCTTTTTGAGGAAATTAAGTTGGCGCAGTTCCTGAGCAACGTACAAAACTGATATTTGGTTTTTCTATTACAAGAGAAAGGGGGAAGAGAAACCAAAACCTACATGGGTTGCCTACGTATCCCTCCGTAGGAAGTCAGGTTGAACGTAGTTCTGTTACATCCAAAACCTTACTCTATTTGTCTTTAAACATAGTATCTTTTGATTGCATCCGAGTTGATAGGCTTCATGTTGACTCTCCCATCCATTTCTGCCAAGATTAGAGTTCCGCCCGACAGTGCTCGATGAACACGTAAGGACCTTGCCAGTTAGGTGCGAACTTTCTCTTGGCTTCTTCTTGACGGGGAAAGATTTTCTTCAAGATCAACTGCCTCGGTGTGAACTGGCGAGGCTTCACTCTCTTGTTAAATGCACTGGCCATCATGTTCTGATATAGTTGACCATGACATACTGCGTCCATTATTTTCTCGTCAATGAGCATGAGTTGCTCCTGTCTGACCCATTTCCATTCGGCATCATCCAACTTTGCCTCTTGAATGACTCTTAAAGATGGTATCTCGACCGCTGCGAGTATTACAACTTCAATGCCATATACCAACATGTACGGTGTTTCCCTACTGGATATTCTCATGGTAGTCTGATAACCGAGTAAAGTGAAAGGTAGTTTCTCGAGCCATTACCTGTGATTGCCCACTATCTTTCGCAGGATTCTCTTGATATTCTTGTTGGCTGCCTCGATTGCTCCATTCATTTGTGGTTCGTAGGCTGTGGAATTGTGGTGGATGATTCAGAACTTCTCCCAGATGTCTCTCATGAGGTCGTTGTTGAGGTTAGCGGCATTGTTAGATATGATAGACTCTGGTATCCCAAATCTATAGATGATGTTGTTTCGGACGAAATCTGCCACTACCTTCTTCATGACAACCTTGTAAGTAGATGCTTCGACCTATTTAGTGAAATAGTCGATAGCTACCAAGATAAAGCGATGTCCATTTGATGCGGCAGGCTCTATGGGTCCAATCATGTCCATGCCCCAAGCGGCGAATAGCCAGGGTGAACCCATTACGTTTGACTCATTTGGTGGAACCCGGATAAAATCCTCGTGAATCTGGCATAGGTGAAACTTCTGCACGTAGCAGATACTGTCGCTTTCCATAGTCATCCAAATGTATCTAGCTCTCAAGATCTTCTTGGCTAATGTGAACCCGTTCATGTGAGGTCTACATGTTCGTGCATGTATTTCCTCCAATAGTCTGGTTGCTTCAGCGGCGTCTACACATCTCAACAAACCTAAGTCTAGGGTCCTCCTGTACAGGACTTCCCCGTTGAGGAAAACATGGTTTGCCATCCTCCTGAGGGCTCGCTTTTGACCATTAGTAGCATCCTCCGGGTATTCTCTAGTTGAAAGGAATTTCTTGATGCCGTGATACCATGGTTTCCCATCTGGATTTTCATCTACATGGAAGCAATAGGCGTGTTGATCTCTGATCTCCACCTCAATAGGGTCGATGTAGTTCTTGTTTGGATGCTGGATCATAGATGATAGGGTTGTAAGGGCATTGGCGAACTCGTTCTCAATCCTGGGGACGTGCTTGAACTCAATCTTTGTTAACTTCTTGCACAACTCTTTCACATAGTGCAGGTATGGAAGTATCTTGACATTCTTGGTGGACAATTCCCCTTGGACTTGGTGTATCAACGAATCGGAATCTTCTATGACCAAAAGCTCTTTGACGTTCATGTCGACTGCCATTCTGATCCCAAGGATGCATTCTTCGTATTCAGCCATATTATTGGTACAATGGAATCTTATCTTTGCCGATGCTGGATAATGTTGTCCAGATTCATAAATCAGGACTGCCCAAATTCCGACTCCTTTGAAGTTTGTTGCTCCATCTAGAAATATTCTCCACCCAGGGTACGATTCTGCAATATCTTCTCCAGCAAATAACACTTCTTCATCAGAAAAATATGTAGTAAGTGGCTCGTAATCCCCATCACCCGGATTTTCTGCGAGGTGGTCGACTAAAGCTTGTCCTTTGATAGCCTTTTGGGTTATGTACACAATATCAAATTCGTTGAAGAGAATTTTCCATTTAGCTAGCTTTCTGATAGGCATCAGCTTCTGCAAAATATACTTGAGCGGGTTGAGCCGAGATATCAGATGTGTGGTGTATGCCGACATGTAATGCCTTAGTTTCTGGGCAATCCAAGTCAGGGCACAACAAGTGCGTTCTATTAGAGTATACTTGGTCTCGCATAGTGTGAACTTCTTGCTTAAGTAGTATATGGCCTACTCCTTGCTCCTAGTTTTTTCATGATATCCCAATACACAACCGAAGGCATTATCCAAGACTGACAAGTTGAGCAACAATGGATTCCCTGGTTCGGGGGGAACCAACATTGGTGGGTTTGAGAGATACTCCTTGATTCTATCGAAAGCTTTCTGGCACTTTTCTGTCCATTTTGTGGCAGCATCTTTCTTCAACAGTTTGAAAATAGGTTCACAGATTACCGTGGACTGGGCTTTGAAACGACTGATGTAATTCAATCTACCCAGGAAACTCATGACATCTTTCTTGCTCTTTGGTGGTGCTAATTCCTAAATAGCCTTGATTTTTGATGGATCCAATTCTATCCCCTTCCCATTTATAATGAAGCTCAACAGTTTTCCAGCGGGGACTCCGAACGCACACTTTGATGGGTTAACTTCAAACTGTACCTTCGCAAGCGTTCGAAAAATTTCCTCAAATTGTCCAAGTGCTCTGAACTCTTTCGAGACTTTATGATGACATCATCCACATACACTTCAATCTCCTTATGAATCATGTCATGAAAGAGGGTTGTCATGGACCTCATGTAGGTGGCGCCGCACTCTTGAGGCCAAACGGCACGACTCTATAACAATAAACTCCCCAAGGTGTGGTGAAGGTCGTCCGCATCTTCCTCGTGCATCAAGATTTGACTGTACCCAGTGAAACAATCCACAAACGACTACAGTTCATGCTTCATGCAATTATCGATGAGGATTTGGATATTTGACAGAGGGAAATCGTCCTTTGGACCAGCTTTGTTGAGATCTCGGTAGTCCACACATATTTTGATCTTTCTGTCTTTTTTGGGTACTGGGACGATGTTTTCCAACAAGCTTGGATAATTGGTGACCCTTACCACATTCACTTCTATCTGTTTGGTCATTTATTCCTTTATCCTCAAACTTAAATTGGGTTTAAATATTTTGGGTTTCTGCATGACCGACGGTCTGGTAGGATTAGTTTGCAGCCGATGTGAGATAATGTCAGTACTTAATCCTGGCATGACATCATAGGACCATGCGAACACATCGATGTACTATCGGAGGAGCTCAATCAGTTTTTCCTTCTGCTCAGCTTCTAGGTGAATGTTGATTCTAGTTTCTTTTACTTCTTCTTCACTTCCAAGATTAACCACTTCTGTTTCTTCGAGGTTGGGCTTTTTCTGACTCTCCAACTGCTCAATTTCATGTGGGAGATTATCGGGCATGATGCTCTCGTCATACTCCTCATAATCTGGGTCGTTGCGCTCAATGGTTTCGTTACATGTCATAATCGCGGAACGCGAGTTTTTAGCAGTTTGATTACGGAAAAGAAAAGCTAAGTATAAATAAGCGGTAAATAAATTTGCAATATTCGAGAAAATGATTCTTTTTATTTCATCAAAAGGGGAATGTCTTAAGAGTTCATAAGAGGCAAATGACAAAAAGGTACAGACACGATGCAGGCCTCAATTGATCGTGCGCTTTTTCAAAAAGAAAACTTTTACAGTTCCATACTACCAAGATTCTTGGTGAACCAAAGATGGACTGGCGGTCCAATTCCACAGCTCTTCCCTTCGTTCGGTATCCCTGATAGTCGGTGTCTTGATGTCAGTCCCTTCACAACATTCTTCAATCATATTCACGAACAGCTTTCCCATCCTGTCGATGATATCATCATCAGGTACTGAACTCTGTCTCCGATGTGAAACATGCTCTGGCACAAAAACCTTTTTCCCGGAACTAACAATGTGAGCTTTCCATTTCGGAGGTTGATATCCTATGCCAGCCCTTCTATTATGTTCAATTGGCTCTGTGATTCCGTCCGATTTGGCTCTCAGCCCTGTTCCTGGCCTGTATCTATATTTCATCATCTCCCTCATAGCCATATTGGACCTATACGGCGACTACATTTCCAAATTCTGTTTGGTCTTTTCCATATCGGTCTTCTATATGATTTCCACTGCATGGAAAGCAACTCCATCTAGCCCTTCAATGAATGGAACATGATACTCTAATTAAGCGGAGTGACCCCACTCGCCATGAACCACGATCACTTGACATCCCCACTCAAATTTCATGCATTGGTGCAAAGTGGATGGCACGGCCCCTGCCATATGTATCCAGGGCCTGCCTAGTAGTAAGTTATAGGAAGAGGAGTTGTCCATTACTTGAAATAGTATGGGGAATTCGACCGGCACGATCTGCAAGGCCAAATAAATTTCTCCAATAATATCCTTTTGCGAACCATCTAAGGCTCTCACCCTTACGTGGCTTTTCTTGCCATCCCTCAAATGAATTCCCAACTCTCGTAGGGTAGAGAGCGTGAAGAAGGGTACGAGGTACCCAGTTAATGAAAATTAACAGTATTTACAATTCAAGCAGAGAAATATAAGCATTATGAGTTACTTTCAACAGTAACAGAGGTATGTACAATTGGCCACACCCATCTTAGTTATGCCCTATGGGAGCTAACATATATGGTTTAAGAGAAGGATGGGATATCAGGATCCGGCTGGGTTAGAGAAACCCTAAATGGTGAATGGATTATTTGAGTTAGTTGACATTTCCGAAGGATATTACAAATGTGCAAATAGCTCTCCTTGTGAGACACCCAGATGGTGCACTCTAGAATAATACAACTAGATATGAATACTAGAATGTTCAGAATTTTTTTAACAAAGATAGGCACTGGAAGCCTGGAAGGGATAAATATTACCTTAGTGTGCCTCCCGTTCCAAGTAGAGAAAGAATGTTAGGCAACCCGAAGAGCCAGTAGTTGGAGCAGGGGGAGCTAAAAGCAAAAGAGTATCTTGTTCGAGTTTTCAGAATAAAGTGATAGACATAAATATGAGCCCCATAAGAAGAGAGCTTATAAAGCATTATGAGTAAGATGTGATACATGGATGACAGCGGTAGGAAAAAGAAATGACAGTATTACAGAGCCTATAGTCAAGTGAAGGAAAAGATGAGAGGTGATAGGCCTTGAGACAACAAAAGAGTATAGGCCATAAAGTCATACCCTTATTTTGAGAAATGAGTTTGTGACTCTAACGTGATTACCAAAAGGAAAAGTTAGACCCCAGAGTAATAGAAATCAGTATGGACTGATGAACAAGATAAACTAAACATGAATTAGGAACTGAGTAATAGTCGGCATCATGAGAATTTCAGAGATTGCGTCCCGTCCAGTATACGATGTGATAAGCTCGCGGCTTTACAAGAGTCAGAGGGTCCTCCCTAGGTACTACAATGAAAGACCAGCTGAGGAAATAAGGAAGAAGGCTTCAACCCCATAAGTAACTTGAAGAAGGAATGGTCATGTAAGAACCGTCTCACTACAACATTGTATGCACTCCATAAGAAAGTGGCACCTACTGTGGCTAATGAACAGGAAGTAAAATCAAAAAGTAATATTCGAGATCATATGAGTTGCACGAAAATTTTGGCATGTGTGGGAACTAAGATAAGTAAGTATGCACGCAACAAGGGGACAGAAAGACCAGGAAAAGTAATAGCTTACGTTTAAAGAAAGCTCAGAAAGAACGAAAGGAATTATTCGAGCAATGATCCAGAGTTAGTTACGTTATGAAGGCACTTAAGATTTTGGAGTATTATCCATGCAGCATATATGCTGACAATCATACAGTCGTAGAAGACTCCGGTATAATTTAAAAGAAAGAATTGAATCCAGGTCATGGACAAAGGATTGAATTATTAGAAGATTGTATCATGGATATTCCATAGCGCCCATGAAAGGCTAAAGTAATAACTAATACCATGAGCCGCAAATCGGAAGATAGCTTAAACCTAAATAAAGGCTGATCAGAGGGAATAGGAAACTAAAAGAGTTACATCAACTAAGTAAGTCAGGAGTCTGATTATTGGACCCAAAAAATTATAGAAATCGTGATTGAGATCATTGAAGAATCACTCTTAATATCAGAGATACAAGAGAGATGGTACAACAACCATATTCCATAACGACTCTACGATAAAGCCAGTTAGAAGAAGCACCAACCTCATAAGAAGTCAGTATGAAGCTCCCACCAGATTGTGTATGCAAGTATTATAATAAAGCTTCAAGTTATGGATGGGAATTATACCTGTGTGGAAGGGAGGTCATGAAAGAGATAGAAGATGTGATGCGATATTTTAAGGTAAGTAAGGTAAAGGTGAACAACGTACGAGATACTCAAATGCAGAAGGTGGTGAATAGTCCATACTTCGGATAGAAGGCTAGAAGTGATGGGATTCAGTATCCACGAATGATAGCGGCGACGTCAGTGGCGTATCTTCTAGCCCATGGTTTCTAGGTACTGAGAGGTCTAGTTAAAAGAGCAAAGAAGAGTTAGAGATGATGTGATGTCTCTCTTGATGTTCCAAAATAACACAAGGAAATCTATGGTGCACGCAAGTTGAAGGAAGGTTGCGAATAATATAAATAGATATGTGTAGGTTGCAAGCTAAAGTATGATAAAGCAACAAGGTTTTAGGAAGACAAGAGTAAGGATAAGAAAGGGTGAGTGAGAAGGTGATGAGAATGGATAAGTCCTCAGGATTAAGCCCATGAAAACAAGAGAGCTAATGGTTTCTCTAAGTTATAGAACGCTCAGTATAGCCTGAATGAACTCAAAGAAGTCTAAGACTAATAGCATTTTGAAGAGATGGAATGCTGCCCTGGTAGTAAAATGAGGGTGTAATTGTGATAGATAAAAGATGACGTTTGGGCCTTCGATTGAGTAATGATTTCAAGAAAAAAATGTCTCATGGACGGCACGGAATTAAAATACCCCTACCCATAAGATGAATCATGTTGGCATGCTATGAAATACGGTCATTAGAGTATAGTATCACCCCTAGGAGGATTAGGCAAGCCACTTCAGATGTCC